CCGATATCGACTGGAACAAGTGTACTCACTGGCTTCACGGTTGGTATCGTGAATGGATCGCGGGCACTCCTGCAGTTTGGGAAGCCGGTTGCATCTTCCCCACTGGAAGTGGTGCTTCAAGCCCTGGTGGACTGGCTTCCCACATCGTGCATTTTATTTGCCCACAATTGCTTTGCTTTTGACGCTCGTGTCCTCAGCAATGCAATGGACTCCTGCTGCATTGCCATGGAGTCAAAGGTTGTGGGCTTTGACGATACGCTGCCACTGCTGAGGGCTGCAAGACCAGGAGAAGCTTCGTACAGCCTATTTTGTCTTTACCAATCCTATTTTGCCAATCCCCTTGCAGATGCACATACAGCGCTGGCAGATGTGCGGGGCCTTTGCGTCATCCTCGAGCATGTCGCCATTTCCGAGAAGGACATGGTGGTTGCGACAACAGGCATCGCATTCTTTGCCGAGAAATGCCAGTACCAAGCCAACCAGCAGAAGTGCCTGGCAACACTGCTTCCCCACCTCAGGAACACCCTGACCCGGACAATGCTCCTCAAGATGGCAGGCTCTGGCCTCACGTACGATCACCTCGTCCAGGCCTACCAAAGAAACCCCCAAACGGGCATACGGCTATTGTTTATGAATGAAGTCATGCTTTCAAATTTCACCAGGGTATCCATATTCACCACAATGTACTCTTGCGACGATTCTCATCGGGGTGATAACAACTACTTTCCCAGATCATGGTCAGGCCCAGCAACCTAGCAGAAGTGAAGGGTGTTTGCAGCACAGACACTGTGCATGGGAAGGCAGATAGTTCAAACCTATGATTCCCCAAAGTTACACAATGACACACCAGCAGTGCATAGTGGGCCATGCAAGGCGAACATGCAGTAGGATTTCAGGCGAACAATCGCATTGACCCACCTGGAAGATAGTATCGTACAAAGCGAACATGCAGTAGGATTTCAAGCAAACAATCGCATTGACCTACCTGGAAGATTATGAACAGTAATAGCCAGGATCAACAGAAGCATGCGCCTCCAGCTGCTTGCAGACATGCTCTGCTGCTGAGCGCTTTCTGAAACAGCGGCAGCATCACTGCTTTCTCTCGCGTCTGAGCTGTCTTGAGAGGCGCTTGCATCGTCTTCTTCATCAGGATTTAAGCGTCGGCTTCGACGTCGCTGTCTGACATCCTTCAGTGCCGACGTGTTTACAGTTTGTGTGAACCCGAAGCATGATGTGCACACGGAAAATGCGTCAGAAAGAAAGAGCACCCGTGAGGAACGTGGGATTAGGGGGAGGAATAACAGGTATGTATCTACTTCGTACACAGGTACAACACGTACAAATCCGTTCAGTATGCTAGGTACAACAGGTACTGTAAGTCTCTCCACCGGCCAGGCAATAGTGACATGATAGCATGAGCAGTTCTAGGTCATCTGGAAATAACCTAAATAATCTGCCAGTGGTTCTTCTCTGGTACAAACAAGTTGAGCATGTTCCCAAGGACCACCTTGAAGTGAAGCAGCACTGGACAGCCATCCACAACCAGATACTGTCATACATGTAGGTAGTCAGCAGCGAAATCTACCAAATATGAACCATACATCCTCGTCTGTAGTCCTCAAAAGTGTACTACTGTATAATATCACATTATTATGGAAAGACATCACTTTCTAACTTGAAAAGCGCTTGTGTCCAGCAGCATGACCCCCCATCATTACCTTGCCTGGTGAAGTCGCCTGAACATTCTCTTTCCTTGCACTAAGCTGTGCAAGTTCCACTGCTGAGGAGCCACCTTCCTACAACAGAAACAAGCAGCAACACAAGCACATGCACAGATGTACAAGTATCGTCAATCCTCAATCCTCATGCGTGCACACACACACACACACACACACACACACACACACACACACACACACACGTACACACACACGCACACACACACACACACACACATACACACACACACACCATAACACATAACATGTCCATGCGCAGATGATAGCTGGTCCCGAAACAGCGACAGACAATGTTCAAGTCCCGAGCAGATCCACACACATTCTAAGTCAACTGTGCAGTGTCTAACCTAATCTCGTACACCAGCCACCCTACAGAACTCACCGGTGTGGGCAGCAACTTATCAGCTCCATGAACGAACAGCGCGCCGAGAAAGAACCCAAACGCCACCGGGCACCAGACGTGTTCGCCATAGTAACCCTGCGATGACGCAATGTCTATTGCCGGTGCTAGTAACGACCAGTAGGACGCAGCTAACATTACCTGTCAAGTGGCCGGAGAACAGCAGCAACAGCGTGCAAGAACACACTCATGTACGTAGATTGATAGCACGGGTAATCAGATTTCAACACGTATACATGTATATACACACACACACACTTGTACTTGTTGCTCACTGCCAAAACTGATCATGCGGGTCTTCCTGGAAGAGAGGAGAGAGACTCAAAAGGAATCTTGGAAAGATGACTTAATTGGCTATTGAACCGCCCAACGGCCGACACCCCCTGAAATCCCCAAAGCTCTGCATGGACATGAAAATGATCCCACTTATGGGCTCACCACACCTCAGTAAGTGGGTGAGGACAAGGTGCAAAAGTACACACACGCATGCACGCACACACACACACACACACACACACACACACACACACACACACACACACACACACACACACACACACCAGGCGCATACGCAGGGTCACCTCTAGGGGGGTTTCCAACCGAATTGTAAACAATGACTCGTTTTAACCCTTTCTAAAGAACCCTAGGAATTTTTCAAAATTATTCATTGTTTTCCTGTTCTAATTCTTTGGATCATCTACTCACTCAATCTTCATTATCTTGGGCTTCCTGGAAGTGGAAAGGTACCAGGGAGAGAATGAGGTCGACCATGACAGCCAGGACCCAGTGCAGTCATGTACATGTGCAGCGCTATAGGCTATAGCGGTAGAGTGCAGCGACGGTGCGAAAAAATGACCCAAAGGCCCAAACACGTCCTGCTCCAGCGATTTCGTTATTCGTGATCGCAGAGTGTCGATTTGTTTTGCCGTGTACTCTTGAAAATATCACAAGTGAAGCCCCTGCAAAATTGAGAAAGGCAGCATGTCGAAAGTCTCAAATTCTCGGTACTCGAGTCGCACTATGCGCTTTTACGAGATCGTGACTCAACTTACGAATGATTTATCTCAAGAGACATTGCTCGCAGCGCGTCGCAACTTGTTTCAGCCGACAGCTGAGAGTTTTCTATTCGACCTGGATATTTGGATTGTTGGATTTGAGCGAGATTTCACTGAGTTACGATCTGTTGAAGTTTTGCATTCTTGCCAGATCGATCGTGCGCCCTGCCAAAAAATGCCCAAAAACGTTGCTCGTTTGGAACATTTGGGGGGGGGGGGGGTCCGGGCAACGGGAAACCCCCCTGCGTACGCGCCTGCACACACACACACACACACACACACACACACACACACACACACACACACACACACACACACACACAGTCACAGACAACTACTACAATAGCACAACCATCACACACTTACCCCGGCAGCAAATCCAAGACTACCATCTAATATCTTTTTCTGCACAAACACAAAAGAAACAGAAGACACATGCATGACATTGTACTCATGTCTCTACCATGATTTCAGCTAGAGATTTCCGCATGTAATAATAATTATTTTTTTCCCATGTTCATACTAGCGACAATCTCCACTGAAAACGTGGTCACTTGTATCTGCTTACAGTTCAGACAGTAGAGTGGGATACAGCGAGTTTATATTGGCACAGCATGCTGAGACCAGCAGTTCTTCTCTAGCATGGGGTGATAGACAACGAGTAGATCCGTTGCGTCGAGATGATATTATTTGGTGAGCAAGTCAGTGATAGTCGCTCGTACACAGTCATGTACACTTGGTTATAAGCTAGTCTTCTTTCAGAATCAGAGTTCTAGATGCCAACAACTGCATGTGGGTCGCAAAGCAAACAAGCCCCACGGAGCACTTGTCTACAGCAGAGTTGCGCGCCCCAGAACGTTGTTTCGAAGGGGTTAGCCTGGGGCGTTCATATTTTCAGTTCAGCATTCTGGCTACGTTCTTATAGCAGGTTCTTAGAAACACTTCGTACTGGATCATATCTATCCCAAAAGCTGCCGGAAAACCAACACCGCCGTTCTTAACTTTAGGCTGTGGCGTTCTTAGAATTAAAGGCTGGATGTTCTTGGGCTCAACGTTCTTCGGCGCGTGACTCTACTGTCGTTCGGGATTTCATCAAAGAAAAACTCAGTCAGCAGTGGGCATGTAACGGCATCATCACCATCATTAGATGCAGTGCATGGGGTGGAAACCGATGCTAGTTTGTATTGGGATTGGAACAGAGGCCTAAGGGACATGGGATATGATTCATACGAATATTGGGATTTGAATGGCAAAATTGTATTGAGTGGCATACCAAGAATGCTAGTTTGAGTGGCAAATCAGCACTAACGCCTAACTGCGCCACTGCTTTGCCACTCCATAATCATGCAAAGCATCTCAAATGATGACGCAGTCGCATAATCTCATAAGAAAGCATTTCAAATAGAAGATTTACCTGATCTCCTTTCATAGGCAAGAAAACTAACGCTGCTCCAGCAGCTGTAAGGCCCCATGTTAGAAGCGTTCCCAGCAATGCCTGCGTCACGGGACCAGCGGTAGCAATCATTGTGTTCTTCACTACTAAGCACTACGACTACATGGATAGTTTTCAGTTTCCAATCTTTACATTTCGTTCTGGTTCTTCACATCATATCAGCAGGTTTTCCGGTGTGCCTGTTTTGTGCCAAGATTCTGGAGAGAGTTCAAACTGTAGGGACTTCCCCGGTGATCCACTTACGTCATCTTTGAAAACCCATTTTCTACCAGTGTTACTTTCCAGCGCATTTTGGTTCAAGACTGCATCATGCACACTACCCTTGATACCGAGTTACAAATCCAGGAGATTTTGGCTTAGGTATCACTAAAATCAGACCGTTTGAAGAAGACAAACCAGTAGAACCTTCTCGTGAAATCCCAAGCAGAAAAAGTCGAACAACGGAGATACGGAGATGGATAATGGATGTGCTGATTTTTTTGATGATTGCTCCGTTGCTTTTTTTTTGGCGGAGAAGCAAGTTCAGATTGAGGAGAAGAGCAATACAAGGCCGTTCTATCACTTTTCCTGAGGACCAGACCTACAGAGAGGTGTTGCCTATACTTGAAGTCTGGTGGATTCTTCTTATTGTAGTGTTTGGTGGCTGATTATTGTGCCGCCATGGCGTTTGATTTGGACCAATGGATCGACATTGCGAAGGAGTGCAAGTATCTACCTGAAAATGACCTTAGGGTGAGTGTTGTGGGTGTACAGCAGGCTCCCGGTGAATGATAGATGAAAGTGCGACTGCCTTTGTCCTGTATTCCGTGTCGGTTGCTGCTCGAGCAGAAGTTGTGCGAGTACGTGTGTGACCTTCTGTTGGAGGAGGGCAACGTTCAGCCAGTATCCACTCCAGTCACGATATGTGGTGACATTCACGGACAGGTCAGTGCCCCTATAGCTATTATTCATGGTCTGCTGGTAATTCTTTGTCTACTTGGTATTCTACCCTCCGTGCCATTTCCTCGGGAGAAGAAAAGATCTTGCAACGACTGCTTGTCTCATCTTCACGATTTGTGCGGATATTTTTTTGTGAACATTTTCATATTCGATATTCGTGGCAGTGACCTTCCCTAAAAACAGTTGTCAAACACTGAAATAGTGCTGCTGTTTGTTCAGCTTGGGCAGGTCGCAGTTGATACAGTGTTATTATACCCTACGTTGGTAGTTCACTCCCTGGGACACTCACTGCTGCTTTGATATTTCCAGGGCTGCAGTTGCCTTTTTTTTTCTGCCATCGACTAAGCGTTTTAGGCCTTCATTCCGCTGGCCCTTGGGTTTTGTTCGTTCACGTAGCTTTGTCATTGTCATGGAAGTAGTTTTGTGCAGTTTTTTTTAGGGTCGCAGTTGCCCCTTCCAGGCCACCATCAACGTTCCGTGTAAACTTCAAAATTCATTGTTTTTGAAAATCACTGTTATTCCATATTCATGGATTTTGAACAGCCTTGAAAGGAACATGATTGCATATGTCTGCTGTCGGTATTGAATTTGTAAGACCTTCTTTTGAGACTGCATCGTTGGAAAGCTGTTTTGGCAACAACTGCATGTTTCATCTCCAGCCCTTTTCATTATCTGTAGCTCTAGAAATTTCGTCACGCCATCCCTTTATGTACAATGTGATGTTGACTTTGCTGACGTGTTGTGTTACGCACCTCGCGCATCTGCCTCCATAACTGGTGCATGTATGCCTGAAACCGCGTGTGTGTGCACATTTTCCTCGCTTTTGGACGTTATGCCTATGCGAATACGCTGAAATGGAAATTCCAACTTGTAATTTCCAGTGCGTTTTAGATGCGTACTGGTGGTGTACTTTGATTGGCAATGTCCAACAAGTAGTACTCCATGTTGTCACATGACCTAAACATGACTTGAATGGCGGCTTTCTGTGAAAGCCTGAAGTAGCGTTTGGGCACGCGTGAACTACAGTCGCATCGCGTACGCGCACCAGTTATGAACGTGTCACTAGTGCCCATTGGACATAACTTTGAAAGCTGCATTATTGTTGCATTCCTGTAAAATTACCATGTGAACAATCATCTTCAGGCAGGAAACCTTTTTAAAATGTTGTGCAATCATTTCCGGCGAAGTCCAGACGAGTGTAAAAGATACATTTCTGTGGGTTTTTTTTCACATTCCTGAAGATTGTGCCTTGAGTTGCTGTTTTGCTGTTCCTTTTCACAACTTCTTCCCCACAGTTCTATGATCTAGAAGAGCTCTTCAGAGTTGGTGGTGCTGTACCCGATACATCGTATATATTTATGGTGAGTTACCCGTGAAAGTCCATAAATAAGCACCTGCCCTCGATAAGTACCCCCCCCCCCCCCCTTTCATCCTTTTGACTCTGTCTGTTGAGTTCAAGTTCAGCCTGATAGACATACCGTAGAATCCCGCGGATAAGCCCATGGGCTTATGTTTCACAAGGACATTTCGGTGGGCTTATACGCAGGCATGGGCTTATACGCCGACACCAAGTTGTGCTATTAAAAAGTATCAAGGAAGTGAGAAGTACATTGCTGAAAACCACTGTGCAAACAAAAACAATCGATGATTATGCTGAAATGTACGAAAAAAATAACTATAATGCGGATGTACTATGTACATGGTATGGCCAAGAGTCCATAATTTATGGACTCTCGGTATGACCTAGGCCCATGGGCTTGTACGATGAAGCTGTGTGATGTTCGAACAAACCCTGGGCTTATACGCGGGTGGGCTTATCCGCGGGATTCTACGGTACTGCCCGAAATAAGTACCGGTACGGTTCGCACATGCAGCGCGTAGCATCAAGTACATCGACATGAAAAATGGCTTCTCTGCTATGCCCAAGTCAGGTCCGAAAGTTAGTTCGTGCCCAAAAATCAGTACCCGTCCGAATTTTAGTATGTGTGTGACCACTAAATTCGAAAGCATCTATATACTTATTTATGGACTTTTTGATACGGTAGTGTCTGATCAATGGTTTACTCTTGTTTATTGTGTCCACACGGGGGGGTTCTTCGGATTTCCAATTTATTCTGAGCACCTTCTACAAAATTCATTCAGTTCGTTGGCTTTCCCTGCCATTTTTGTTGACAAGGTGGTGCTCATCACAGTGCATCGCTGTCATTGAACAAACTAGGTGCGGCTTGCGTAAGCATTAGTGCTCTCGTGTCCAGTTCTACCCCTGCCGTTAGACCCAAGTCTCTTCTTGTTCGTGTGTTTGTGTTTTTGTGTGCTCAGGGTGATTTTGTAGATAGAGGCCACTACAGCCTGGAGACACTAACTAGACTACTTACTTTGAAGGCCAAGTAAGTTACTGTGTTTCCGTGTAAAGTACTGTTATCACACACACACACACACACACACACACACACACACACACACAACGCTACACTACACGTCATGGAGAAGAGGAATGGGGCGAGTTTTTGATATTTTTCATAATTGCTACGATATCTGGCTATGTGTCAATGTACTGTATTTTCTGGAGTATAAGCCGCACCTTTGGAAATTAGAGGCCACATGCCACGTACTGCTCTTTTCTCTCATATCTGGCTTGCAAGTGTTGAGTTTCGGAGAGAAAAGAGCAGTACGTGGCATGTGGCCTCTAATTTCCAAATACTTTAAAATTTTCCGTGACGTCCAAATTTGACATTATAAGCCGCACCCCCATCTTTTCCCACGGAATACAGACATCTATCCTAGTTATCACCGTTAATTTGATCATCGGAGTATAAGCTGCACCCTCCTTCTTTGGGTGAATTTTGAGTGTTCAAAGTGCAGCTTATACTCCGGAAAGTACGGTACTTGTGCCAGGATGTATGCAGTCCTTCCTCCTCTGCATGCGTCATAACTGCACCAGTCTGCATGTGTGGTCAATCCCTGCATGCATTCATTCCAGCCTGGATCTACAGTGCTACGGGTACACTGTAGCATGCTTTCATTGGGGTGCAGTACGTACACCAGGAGCTGTCAAGCAAAAGTGTAAGCCAGTACATGCACCACGGTCACCACCATTGCTTGCTCGATGACTCTTACTGCACAGCTGTTATGTAGTTACTCGTCGATGATCCGAATATTGGGCCAGCGCCTACTAGAAGTGGTAAATGTTGCGAGGCAAGTAACTCAATCAACAATGTTATTCAGTGATGCACCTGAACCCATTTTTCACGAACGAATACTCCATTGAATACCAAACCTTCGAACGAACGAATATTCTAGTATTCTTATTACTGACGCGCATCACATCATGCGCTCAGGTTTATGCTGACGTTTCGGTTTGTCACAATTTGTCTTCGCTTAGCTTCCCCTTTCTATGTTTATTACATAAACTTGAGCCTCCCAAGTTCGGTGGTCTGTTGCTTTGCGTCGTCGAGTTGTAGTAAGGCCGGTATGTCCAATAGTCTTACTAGTTTCGTCATCATCCAGTAACTTTCGGCATTCTTTGTTGCCGTGATGCGTAGCTCGTGCTCTTCTTCGTTGCGCTTTCCTTCCCCTCTTGGACCTTTCCGAACCTGAGCCTTCCAAGTTGGAAGGTTGTTGGTTTGCGCCTTGGAGAAGTGTTGGAGCTAGGTGTGAGGTCGCCGAATGTCTCAGTACTCCTTGTCAGTTTTGTGCCATTTTGTCGCACTCGCTGACTGTATAAGATCTGGTTACTTTGGTGGACAGTTAGTCATAACTCGTAACATTTGGTCCTTCTGTTGGACTATTCGTGTGCATTACTGGTTATGGTTGGTTGGAGTCCTTGTGGCGGCAGTCAAACTTCATTCAGAACTTCATATCTGTGTGCCAGCCATGCAAAACAGCTCGGATGCGATAGTGTTCATTAGTGTATGTCAGCCAGACATCAAAAAGTGTACCACAAAGATAAGAATAGGTGGTGGAGTTTGTCTTCGTTGCAAAGTAGGACAGCCATGCACCTTCTGCCGCCCTGTCCCGCAGGCCATGAGCAAACTTTCTGAATTTAATCTTTGTGTGGGCCTTCTCCTGAGCTGTGCAATAATCATGTAAGGGTGAATGCTGCAAGGTAGCCTGTAACTCTGCCAATGCACTGCAGTACTGCATGCGCTTCACTGGCTCTTGCTAGCGACACCAGATACGTGCAATGTTCTGGAGGATTGTTTCGTTCCCCTTTTCAACCGCCGAGTATCCCCTGTCGTGTGTGTGCTGTGCAGGTATCCTGATCGCATCACATTGCTACGCGGTAACCATGAAAGTAGGCAAATCACCCACGTCTATGGCTTCTATGGTGAGTGCTCTTGCTTTCCTCTACTGATGTGAACGGTTTCACCTTGGGTTTTTCTGTGCCTACATGCCTGTACTGCTCTCTGTCCACCACGTATTGTGCATCTTGTTTAGAGTGATGGGCTTGGCTCTACATACATGGTGGACAGTTGGCTCTTTCGCAAGAATGCTTATGAAGGCTGTGTACCCCAATCTCCGAGATTGCACAACTTGGCATTGGTCGACTGCATGCTTGCCCAGCAAACGCACATTTACCAAGCTAGGGAACAGTGAGAAGAGCACCCTTGCAAGATAAGCGGACACAACATGTGGCCGATCCACCTTGCTCATCCACTGATCCCTGGCAATAGCGTACAAGTATGTGCTTGCAGTGGCTGTGCACCATTTCACGTGGTGTTTCCCCGTCTGGTACCCCGTTGCAGAGGTGCACACTGTGTACTGTATGCATACTAGCTGCTGTCCATCCGTCATGGCCTCGGTTCTCAAAGTACACTCATACATGTATCTCTCTCTTATCCGGCCAGTCAAGGACCAGGCACTGCACATAACTTGGAAATATCCGTAACTCTGAATCCCGTACATTTTGATGGGGAAGTGCCAGAGATCTGGGATGACAGCACTATTTCAACAAGACTTGGCAAAAGAGTAGTAATATTTCCACTAAAAGTCGCACACAGGGTGCCCGGTGGACCGAGGTGCCCGTAACTTGGAGGTCCGGATAAGGGAGATATGAGTGTATATCCATTCAACGTATTGTATGATTGTAAATCCATGCTTGCGTTCTAATTCTTTCACCATGCATGCTTTGCTACTGTTTTGCTTCCAGATGAGTGCCTGAAGAAGTATGGCAATGCCAACGCATGGATTTACTGTTGTAGAGTGTTTGATCTGCTCACGGTGGCAGCTGTAAGTTTACTCTTTATTATCGGCTTGTGTGGCATGTTCATTGCTGTGTTGTCTAGTAGCAGGCATCACATAGTTTCAAAATGTTGGCACTGTGGACCTGAAGTCACTGGGGCTTTGGACCTCATCAGTATCTGCTGTAGGATTTCAAAGCAACCGGGTACTGTACACTTGTACCTGATGGCACAACTCTTGCAACCGGGTCAGAGCCGGGTAGTGCGGCTACTGCTAGCCTGTCACAGTGTCAGTGTCTACACCCTTGAAGTACACAAACTGTACTCGACATGTCCTGTACAGTACTCCCAACCGTATCACAAGTGACTTGGTGTTCTTTTTTCAGACTTGTTCGAGTACCCCCCCCCCCCCCCCCCCCCCAAACGAAGTCACTGACCCGGTTCTGAAGCAGATACTGATCATTGGTATAAGGATCTTTGTCTGATAATGGCTCTTCCTCAGTCTTGGATCGGCTGTCTTCTACTCTCGGTCGTTTGGCTTTTGAATGTGATGGTGGCGGAAATTCTGTTCCCCTGTCCGCCTCCACGTCGGATCCGAATAGTGTTTCATTGTTGCTCTCAAGTTTAGCGACTTCTTCAGTTTCGGCTCTGACCAAGTATGTGCGGCACGAGAAAAAATGACGTGCTCTACAAGCTGCGGTAGCGTCTGTCAACATATCCTCGAAGAGATCTCCACCCTGACTATGCACCTGTGCTGCTATTTTACTGGTGACCGAACACAAAATGTGATGGATGTCACCATGTACTACTTGCAAAGCATCTAGGGCTTTCCTACTTCTATACGTGTACTTCTGGTTGAAGCTATTGTTTGAATTCACAGATGATTGATGTTCCATTGATGGTAGATATTCATGACCTTGTGCATATTTGTTTGCTCTTTATAGATTGTAGACGAGGAGATCCTCTGTGTTCATGGTGGTCTGTCTCCATTTGTCAAGACTCTAGATCAGGTATGGCCCTCTGTAGCTGCTGCTGCTGCTGTTGCTGTGGCAGTTGTTTTGTTGAAGCTACCAAACATGTTCAGCTCTGCCTGCACAATCCCTATCCTGAGCTGCTGTGGCGGCAGTGCATCACCCAACATTGCATGTTTTAGTATGTTCACAAAACAGTGCAAAGTGATCACCGGAGAGCTGTAATGGGTAGTGTACGGTATTGGTACCGCTGGTGTTTGCTAGTCATGGTGCTTATGCATAGCAATGGTTGTGGCATTGGTGATGGGGCACTGCTAGCAGAGGGGCCAACACATTCACGTCCATAATAGTAGCGACTTCAATCACGTGACCAAAAGGCAGAAATCCTTCGTCGTACGAATGTATGGTGCAAGCATGGCGTGCACGGAACAATTTTTCTCTCGACGTTCTACGCCTGCCTACGCGTTATTCACGTATCTGGCGCCTTGGATTTTTACATGATGGGCAAGCACACACGAATAGCTTTCCAACGGTGTGTCGCATGTCAAGAGTCATCGATTTTTGGATATATCGCTCCGTATTTTTAGTTTTCAAAGCAAACTTTCGGCATCTCAGCTACCTTGCCCGTCAATGACCGAGTCACCATCGTGTTCAGAGCCCTCGAATTAGGCCTCGTTTACACGACAACGATTGAAAAACGTTTTTGTCAAAAACGTTTTCAAAAGAATACGCTTCCACAGATTTTGATAAGAGCGTTTAAACGACAACGCTGAAAAACGTTTCAAAAACGTTTCAAACGAAAAACGGCCTCAAAGTGTTTTTCAATTGTTTTAGTTCCGTTTCGTTCTCGTGTAAACGGCAAAAACGTTTTACTAGTACGAGCCTTGTACTCAAAACATGCCGCCGCCAGCCTGCGCCAGGCCAACTTTTTGCACGTGACCATTGCGCGCCGAAAAAAGTGTTGCAGTGTACACGATTATCGTTTTCGTGTAAACTGCAAAAACGTTTCGAAAACGATTGAAAAACGTTTTTCAATCGTTGTCGTGTAAATGAGGCCTTAGTTTAGATGGGTTCATGGTAAGGTTCTCCTCCGTAGCCGTTTTTAGCAGTTTGAAGAATTTGTGCGCAGCGGCTGAAGTCAGCTATGGAGTGCACTATTTTAACGGGCTCTGCGTGACGGAGCGAGCAGACCTTTGGCTTGTAAATCCGCTAGTAATGATTATGTTCTTCACGTCAAGATTCTGGAGGTGCTTGAGCAGTGAGAAGGTGATTATTCCCGTAGCTATGCAGAAGACGTTACTTCAGTAACGTCTGGCGCTAGCCAGGGTCCACACAGCTTTAATTCCCGTAGCTATGCAGAAGACGTTACTTCAGTAACGTCTGGCGCTAGCCAGGGTCCACACAGCTTTAATTTGGTGTTTGTTTGTTTGTTTGTTTGTGTCACGCCTGGCACTATCCGTATCTGACGGCAAAAAAGCATAGGATGTTATAAATTTTTCAATTCTCCTTTTTTTCAGGCATATCCTGGGATTCGAACCCGCACTATCGCCCTACATGCATTCCCCCATACACTTCGCATTCATACCCATTCTTCCAAGTTGCGTTATGTTATTATCTTGTGGTTGAAAGCCCTATTTGAATATTGCGGGAAGCTGTATGTGGCCAGCTGTGTTTGATGGTACGGTACGGGAGACGGTGTCGTATTACCCTCGATCGTACCTGTCCCGTCCCTATCCCCTACCGTACCGTGCCATCAAAGACGGCTGGCCACAATGCATATAACCAAGAGTACATAACCCCCCAGAGTGTGCAACGTCGATCCAGCTCTGTGTAGGGTCTTGGTCGAGCGGAATCGGATCTTCTGATGTCATGCGTACACTTCACACCAGCGCAAGGCCGGTCTCGAGGCAGGGCACAATTGTTTTTGATCCAAGAGTACCCGCGACTCCCCGGGTTCCCCTCAGATGTGTACGGTATTATGACGCAAAGATCCGATTCCGCTCGACCAAGACCCTATGCAGAGCTGGATCAGGCGTTGCACACTCTGGGGGGTTATGTACTCTTGATATAACTCAAATAGGGCTTTCAAATGCAAGATCACAATGTGAAACAACTTGGAAGAATTAGTATGTATGCGAAGTGCATCGGGGGATGAATGCAGGGCGCGCGATAGTGCGGGTTCGAATCCCAGGTTATGTCTAAAAAAAAGGAATTTTTAAGTCATCAAGGCAAAAAAGCATAGCGTAGGGCCCTGAGCTTCCAAGCTCTCTCGTTTGGTGTTTGTTTGTGTGTTTGTTGGTGTCACGCCTGGCGCTATCCGTATCTGACGGCAAAAAAGCATAGGATGTTATAAATTTTTGAATTCTCCTATTTTTTTTTCAGGCATATCCTGGGATTCGAACCCACACTATCGCCCTACATGCATTCCCCCATACACTTCGCATTCATACCCATTCTTCCAAGTTGCTTCACGTTATTATCTTGCGTTTGAAAGCCCTATTTGAATATTGCGGGCAGCTGCATGTGGCCAGCTGTGTTTGATGGTACGGTACGGGAGACGGTGTCGTATTACCCTCGATCGTACCTGTCCCGTACCTATCCCCTACCGTACCGTGCCATCAAAGACGGCTGGCCACATACAGCATATTCAAATAGGGCTTTCAAATGCAAGATCACAATGTGAAACAACTTGGAAGAATTAGTATGTATGCGAAGTGTACCGGGGGATGCATGCAGGGCGCGCGATAGTGCGGGTTCGAATCCCAGGTCATGTCTTAAAAAAAAATGGATTTTTTTAAAGAATTTATAACATCCCTATGCTTTTTTTGTCTAGGTCATCAAGGCAAAAAAGCATAGCGTAGGGCCCTGAGCTTCCAAGCTCTCTCGTTTGGTATTTGTGTGTGTGTGTTTGTTTGTGTCACGCCTGGCGCTATCCGTATCTGACGGCAAAAAAGCATAGGATGTTATAAATTTTTGAATTCTATTTTTTTTTCAGGCATATCCTGGGATTCGAACCCGCACTATCGCCCTACATGCATTCCCCCATACACTTCGCATTCATACCCATTCTTCCAAGTTGCTTCACGTTATTATCTTGCGTTTGAAAGCCCTATTTGAATATTGCGGGCAGCTGTATGTGGCCAGCTGTGTTTGATGGTACGGTATGGGAGACGGTGTCGTATTACCCTCGATCGCACCTGTCCCGTACCTATCCCCTACCGTACCGTGCCATCAAAGACGGCTGGCCACAATGCATATTCAAATAAGGCTTTAAAATGCAAGATCACAATGTGAAACAACTTGGAAGAATTAGTATGTATACGAAGTGTATCGGGGGATGCATGCAGGGCGCGCGATAGTGCGGGTTCGAATCCCAGGTTATGTCTTAACCCTTTAAGAGCCACAGGAACTTTTCAAAAATCTGCATTTTTTCATGTTCCTCGGATCATAGCTTCAGTTCTACTCACTCAATCCTCACAATCTAGGGCTTCCTGGAAAGGTATTCGCGAGAGGAAGAGAATGAGGTCGATCATGATAGCCAGCACACCGTCTATCCAGCGCTAGATCGCAGCGACAGTACGAAAAATGCCCCAAATGCGTCCAATTGCGTCCCGCTCCAGATATTTCATTCTACTCGATCGTGGAGTTCCAATTTTTTTGCTGTGTACCCTTGACAATATCAACAGTGAAACCCGTGCAAATTCAAGTAAACCAGCGTGACGAAAAGTCTCAAAAATCTCAATACTAAAGTCGCACTGCGCGCTTTTGAAATTGCCGCGATCGCGGCTCAACTTACGAGTGATTTATCTCGGGAACCGTTGCTCGCAGCGCTTCGCGGATTGTTTTTCCCGACAGGTGAGAGTTTTCTCTTCCCCCTGAATATTTCGATCGATGGATTTGAGCGAGATTAGACTGAGTTACGATCTTTTGAAGTTTTGCATTTGAATGCGTCGTTTACGACGCATTCAAGTATGGGGCGGCTCTTAAAGGGTTATAAAAAGGATTTTTTTAAAGAATTTATAACATCCCTATGCTTTTTTTTTGTCTAGGTCATCAAGGCAAAAAAGCATAGCGTAGGGCCCTGAGCTTCCAAGCTCTCTCGTTCCTGTAGCTATGCAGAAGACGTTACTTCAGTAACGTCTGGCGCTAGCCAGGGTCCACACAGCTTTAATTTGGTGTTTGTTTGTGTGTTTGTTTGTTTGTGTCACGCCTGGCGCTATTTTGTATCTATCCCGTACTGTACCGTACCAGCAAAGACAGCTGGCCACAATATTTTTGTTTGTTTGTGCCATCGACATGCCTGGCGCTATCCCGTACCTGTCCCGTATCATCAAGAGTACGGTACCATCAAGAGAATGAGTATATATGCGAAGTGTATGGGGGCAATGCATTCAGTGCAGTAACATTAAATTTTGTGTGGATTTGTGTGCGAGGCCGAGATCCCACTAGCAGGCTGGCTGGGCCGCCTGTCGACCAGCCCGGAAATCGCATGTAGGCCGATAGCATAATAATTATAACGTATATACAGTCATGTAGATGTATAGCAGGCAGTCATATTATGTAAACGACTCCCTGCTGTATGGGGAGATTTTCTGGAAAGAAATACGAAGTAGGGAGACGAGTAAATGCAATCAGAATGGATGTTAGTTGCCGTCAGTATAACAATAATAATAAGAAGAAGAAGAAGAACGCCCGTGATCGGCAGAGTCAGCGCCGGTCCCAGGAAACGTCAGGACAGACATCCCGTCGACTCCAGAACGCCCGTCATCGGCAGAGTCGGCGCCGGTCCCATAGCTATGCAGAAGACGTTACTTGTACTTCAGTATCTCATTGAAACGTTTTTGCAAAACAATGATTTAGCTAATCAAAGGAAAAAGCATTTCCATCAGTTCTAACAACATGCACGATGAGCTAGGCAACAAAGCATAGCGCAGGGCCCTGAGCTTCCAAGCTCTCTCGTTTGGTATTTGTGTGTTTGTTTGTGTGTTTGTTTGTTTGTGTCACGCCTGGCGCTATCCCGTATCTGACGGCAAAAAAAT